GGGGGGGGGGGGGGGGGGGGGGGGGGGGGGGGGGGGGGGGGGGGGGGGGGGGGGGGGGGGGGGGGGGGGGGGGGGGGGGGGGCTGCTGGTAAATGTTTGTGTGTGGCAAGGGGAGAGGGGATATATGAGATTAAAATGAGTCCCTTCGGGCTCTGGAAAGGCAACTGTTGTATTTTCCCTTTGGTAGCCCAAGAAGGTAGCGCTGATGTGATACAGTTTTGTCAGTTCTCCAGCCCACCCCTCATGCCTTCTCAGCTCTTCACTCGGTTGTAGCCAAATCTGATGGAAAAGCAGCAGTCTCAGAGGCAAGGAAATGCTACGAGCCTGGTGAAAGTGGTCTACGTAGAGGAAAGACACTTAATTAATGCCTTCATCCATTGCAGACCCCCTCCAGGAGAGTTGTGTTAGAGCTGCCCTGACTAAGCTTTGGTCAGCTTTTGTGCTGTGTCAGACATCAGTGATCTGCAACTCTGGCAAGGGTCCCCACCGATGGGTCACCTCTGTACAAAATGGAGGGTGAATCTGTACTCAAGGCTTACTATCCATCAGGTTCACAAAACAGTCAGCACCAAGACCCAGTTCCACTAGAAATTAGTTTTAATGAGTTGATATCAGTGTTCGCTGAACTGTTGGCGCCCACAGTTGCATCCTGTGCATGTCATGTGCTGGGAGAGAGGAGGTGACTTTTCCACATTGCTTCCACAGGAGATGCCCTTGATCCTTAATACTTGCCTGTATTTGGCATCTCTCTTGGACGGAGAAGGGATGGCACCCTCCACCACATCACAACTTCCCTGTCAGCACCCTCTTGGACGAAAGTCAATCCTGAGCATGGGCACTATCCCCTTCCCCTCAGCCCCACTTACTAGTAGGGGGGTCACCCCCAGAGTCTTTTTCTGCTGAGTCCTGTCTTCTCATACACCAAAGAGCAATGTTTGCACATGCATGGGGTTGGAGAAGAGTTGCTTTTCATTCAAAATTGTTCTGTGTGTCTGCTGAGGAAGGGCTGACAATGCTTGCTTCAGACACAGCATTTGGGTAGGATGCAGTCATGGTTTCCAGCTGTGGATAGCTCTGAATCAAAGCATTGATCAGGATGGGCATCAGTCACACCACAGCCTCCACCACCGCTGGCTGCTCCGAGGCCAGTTTTCCTGTGTGAAAAGTGTCTGTGGTCCTGGCTGCTGCGCTGCATCCTCCTGGTGTAAAGAAGGACTCTGGAGGGTGTAGTGAGTTGCCAGCCCACCCTCCAGGTGAGAGCAAAAGGAAGGCAGGAGACCATGCAGAAGACCAGAGAGCTGATTTCTACACATCTGGTGCTATTATTTTCTGTATAGACAGCAAAGGTGTACTAGCAAAACATGGATATTTTTATGCGTCATTGTTGTGATGATGAGCTTGGACACTGCAGCTAGTGTAAGGCTGTAGGGGAGAGGGAGACTGTTTTGCAGACACTGCACCTGAAGCCTGTGCTGGACCCTCTCTGTCCTCCTCTCTCCCAGACATCACTGTGGTGTTTTTCATTGCACAGTGGATGCTGTGGACCAGACATGAGTTCATGTGGCCACTGGACTTCTTACCGCTGATGTGGGAATGGCTCTGCCGCTGTGAGCCAGCAACCGTCCCCGTGAGACCCACACAGAGCTCTCCTGCCACTCAACCACTGCCATCCCTCATCAGCCACCAAGGGTCCTCCATAACACCACAAAAATGCAGGCAGAGCTGGTGTCTTCCCACCCTCAAATGTAGTTGCTCAGGGGCTGGAAGATACCTAGAATAGGTGTCTCTGGGTGATAAGTTACACAACAGAAGAGTGAGAAGTTGATTTCCTTAGCCAAGCTGGCTACATATTTTCAAAAGGCTGTGGACCAGACTTAATTTGTATAAAATTGATCTAAGTGTAGATGTCCTTGCTAATAAAGATGCTGGAAGAGTTAAAGGTAGAGGGATAACTGTGCAGCACTAGGTTGAACAGGATCAAGGAAGCTCTGCCTCTGTTTCTGTATTTGCAATGGACTCACTGAGAAGTTGGCAGATTCATTTGAGCCACACATCTTGCATGTCCACCTGTAAACAAGGGCTGTGCTTCCCTGCCTCCCTGGAAACAATATCCTCAGCCTGAGCTTTTGTGATGGTGCCAGGGGACTCTTGTTCTGGAGGGAAGGGAAGGTGTGACTGAGCGTTTTGGCCCCAGCATGCAGTGCTCTGTTAGGGTCACATGCCTGCCAGTGCTCCACCAGCCAGCCAAGTGCGGGAAGTTTTCTCTGGCAAGTACCCAGTGGTTTGCCAAGTGGTCATTAACGGAGGTGTGGCAAGAGAAGCTTGCTATCTTTTGTTTTAGACTCAACACTCTGTGTGGAGGAAGAAGGAAGCCCCAGGTTCAGAGGAAAATGTATGGAACAAGGAGCAGCCATCTTTTAAAGGCCACCAGCTGACCCCTCTTTGATAAGTCATGCCTGCTTTCTCCGGGGCATTGGACTTGAGAGCGTGGAAATGCAGCATTTGCTGGCTTGGGAAGACCAGTGAGGTTGTCCCACAGTGTTAACTGCCTGCCAACTGCACCTTGCCACAGGTTGTGGTCCATGAGACATCTTGGATAGAAACCAGCAGTAAGCAGCCATAGGGGATGTTGCTGCTGGGCCCACCTGAAGAGACACGCTCCTGAAGATCTAGGAGTCAATGACAGAGGGGCTATCGTGATAATGGACAACAGTGACACAAGGTGGAGGAAGTGAAAATTCCCTCAATAGAAAATCTAGGAGGACTGGAGGTTCAGGGAGGCAGGAGGTCTGAAAGACCAGAAACCAGCTTTTCTTTACAAAGAAGTTCCCTGGGTTGGTGCCTCCTTCCCTGAGGGTTTCTTAAGACCAAACCATGTGTGTTCCCATTAGTCAGAGGAGGGCTGAGATATACTATCGACAGGCAGTAGACAGAAGAACCAAGTAATCAATTTGCTGTAACCCACCAAATAAAAAAAAAAAAAAAAAAAAAAAAAAAAAAAAACAAACACAAAGTGAACAGTGCAATACAAGCTGTCACCAAATGCACTCCACTGACACTTTACCTCCCAAATGGTAGCGTGCACTGAAAGTCTAAGTCCTCTGGTCAGCAGCCAGCTTTTGAGCTCAAAGCTCAAAACACAGCCCAGTTCCTGGAAATAGCAATGCTGGGAGTGCAACGTGGTGATGGATGAGAAAGACATAGTGCTCTAGTCCATCTTCCATACCTTTGCCTCTGGCCAGCTCCTGCTCTTGACTTGCTCCTGGCTGACACTGGAAGTGCTGATTTCTGGGGAAATGGGCTCATAGGAACGGAGAGACAAACTTGCAGCAAGCAGACCCATCCGGACACAGGTATCTGTGTCATGTTTAGCAAGCATCCCTGCAAGGATTCCTGCCATTAAGCTGTGGAGCGAAAGAAATACAGTTTTGAACACTGGGGGAACAGCTTTGACTTTGGGAACGTGGCCGTTAGTTTGTAAGAACAGTAATTTGGACCCAAACTGACACTTACAGAAGCAGAATATGTCACACAGGAGAGGTGAAGTTATAATTATTTTTTAAATTTGGAGTAACAAATAGTGCTATTTATTTGCATTGTATTTACTTCTCATCTGAGAAGTTGAGGTACTTTCCCATTCCACCACATTTTCTTTTTTCCTCAGTTTTCCAGGTGAGGCAGGAGAAAAGGAAAGAGTCTAAGAAAGGAAGAATCTATTTTTCCCTTGTTCTCTAATTATTTTGTCACTTGTTGGTGCCTTGTTACATTCGCTTCTGTGCCCCATTGAGAAGGAGTGGATGGGAAGAAAGGTAAAGTTTCCATATATGTGTAAGTGGGGCAACAGGCACAGCTGGAAAAAGAAATCCAAAGCTGAAACGAGATTTTAGATTCAGAACTTTTGTAAACTTTAGCTGTGGTTTTCCATTTGAGATTTCCCAGTAAAAATCACGTGAGTGCTTGGAACAACAGCAGTCACCCACAGGTCCTCACAAGGCACCGAGGGGACCGTCTGGCTTGCAGAGAAAGGCTCTGGTGAGTCATGGATACGTGCAGGATGCTGTTTGTGATCAGTGGGGAACAACCACTGTTTATTCCTAGCTAAATACAGTAATGGTGCTCGGAAGCTAGGAAAGGACAAAGGAGAAGTGAAAGAGAAGGGAAAAGATAATATTTGAGTGGAAGAAGCAAGGACTGGAAAATGTGACAGCAGGGAGGACTGATGAGCAAACCTATGGGGAAAGGAAAAAGATCACCTCTTTTTTACTCTCTGAGTAATTACCTCAACATCTTTTTATCCATAACAAAAGCACAGAAGATTATGATTTCCATAAGCCATTCAACCTCTCAACAGCTCCTCAAGTTCAGAGTAAATATTTGGGGGAGCATCCCATAGCAATACCATGTGCAGGCGCGCGGTGTTATGCTGTCACGGCAGCGGAGTGTAAGGAGCAAAGAGCCACTGCTCCCTGCATGCACGCACGGCTCCTTGGGCAGCATCTCTGGAGCTGTAGGAGAGCTGCAGGGCTGAAGCAAGGCGTGAGGTGCCCTGGATCACTGTGTCTGGGTGCACGGTGTCCACTGATTAGTGCCAGAGCTCACAGGGGCTGAGCTGTGAATGTGTTACAGCCCTGGGTTATACCCCGCTGCACAGTCCCTTGAAAGTGCCAACAGGCTGGGCCTGGGCAACTTTATCCATTTATAAGCTGTGGAGATGGCAGGTACATCGATGTATTGTCCTGGCATTTCCAGCTAGTTTTGGCACTCTTACTCCCCAGAATGGGGATTTTTGCAGCTCAGAACTTTCAAATATTTGTTATTTTTAAATTTAATGCTTAAAACCATGCAGCATTCTTCATTTTGTAGTATTCACCTCTAGTATGATGAAAAGTAAAATGTTATTTTTAGTTTGAAGCAAAATGACATGGTTTACGCTGGGTTGCCGAGGACTCTTCTCATGTTATTCAACTGACAATGTTCAGTCAGGCAATACCAAGTTCTTTGAGAAAAGTCCAAATTCCACTGTTGCTTGGAAGGATTTTGTGTCCTTATCTTGTACTTCTTTTGAAATTAAACCAGTGAGTTACACCCAGCTGCTCACTTCCGTGATTACCAGGAAGGACAACAAAACAACTATGAAAATTCTGACACTTTACCTCCCAGATGGGGGAGGTAAAGTGTCAGAATTCTGGGGAATGGGATTTCCAGACCAACGGGTACAGGACCTTCAGGAACAGGAACAGTAATGAGCAGTAATACTTTTCAGATAGCTTTGGAAGGCAAAACAAACTTCAAGTACTCCTGTGTAACTCAGTGCAGGTGTTTGGCAGTGGCACACTTTATCTTGCCTTTGCTCTTCCCTTAAAGTAAACTTATAAAAGGGAAAGAAAATCCTAAAGAAGATGTTTACATTAGCCTCTAGAAAAAATTGTCCTGTGGTGAGAGGTAGTTGTGTACTGAGCAGATGGTGCAGAGAGGAGACTGTCCCTGGAGGGGCTGGCAGAGGTTGGGCGCATCTGCTAGAAGCAATGAGCAAAGCTGAGCTTAGGACAGGCTGACCCTGCAAGGTTCCTCCTAGGCCCCATTCCTCTGCTGTTACACTTACTGCTCCAAACACCACATTGGTCTTCTTTGGAGAAGGCCAGCTTGCAGTTGCAGTCAAGTCATCGCAGAGATGATTTAGGACACAGGGAGTGTGTCCTGGTGTTAACTAGCTTGACAAGAAGTTATTGATTGATCCTAACTCAACTACTGACGAAGCTGTAAGTTTAAAAAAAAAAAAAAAGACTTTTCATTCTGCACACTCATAAAACAAAAAAGAAGTGTTGCTATCTTATTAGCAGGTAAGAGCAGTAAACAAAAGGAAATCTCTGATATGTACATCCTTCTGGTCTAGTCCAAGACAATGAAAGGATAGAATCAATTATTGTTGCATATGAAGCAAGAAGAAAAAAACCCAACTGACTACTACATATACTTTGACAAGCTAACAAGGAACATAATAAAATATTACTCTGACAGACTGAGAATTGATCAGTGGGGCTACGAATAACACCTGTCGTTTCCTACTCCTCTGTACAGCATTGTGTGAACAGCCAGGCAAATTATACATCAGACTCTTTTGAAGCATGAGCTATCACCAGAGGCAAATGCAGAACCTGATGAAATGCTTTTATAGGCTATTTGAGCTACTGAGTGGTAGTCCCACTTCCACTGGAGAAGTGTGGAAGTAGTTAGTTAGGAAGACAGCTTTGATGTAAGGTGGTTTACTTTGCTTTTAGCAGCTCAGCTCGGACTAATTCAGAACTACTAGATTGCCATGAATGGCTTGGATCTTAAAGAAAAGCAAAAATAATAATGGCAAGACTGGCTTCCAACGTGCTTAGGGGGACATTTTTAGAAAGCTTTTCAAGGAATCACAGTAACCAGTCCTGTTCTTGTGTCCTTAGTGTCTGTTCCTCAAGCAGCAGAATATCGTCTGCCTTTGCAGTAGAATTTCAAAGAAACCTGATTATGGCCCTTCCACGTTTAGCTGGAGAAGACAAAGTAGTGAGCCACACACCTGTCACCGGCTCCTGAGACGTTGACTATCTCCTCCCTGCCGATGTGGATGGCGGGGTAGTGGGTGGCACAGAGGTTGGCAGCAGCAGTCTGCGGGGGAGAGAATGGAAGTTAGTGGGAACTGCCCAAGCTGATAAGGCCTGGTGTGGCTGATGCCATCCAGAGCTGCACGGATGCCAAAAAAAGAAAAGGAAAAAAAAAGGCAATAATCTTTTTTTCACACTTTGAAAGAGATTAGCGATTTAAGTGAAGCTTCCGGAAAATGCAGCTTGCGCTCATGAATATTCACAGTAAGAGCATTTAAAACTAGCTGACTATAAACACTGCTGCTAGGAGCGAGTGGTATAGGGACAGACAACTTGATTTTCTTTCAGAGCTGTGTATTCCACCCCCTCAAACATGTACGTTTGCCAGCAGTGATGCCATGTTTCCCAGGAGCGCTGCCATGCCATCAGAAATAGCAATGGTGCTACACAGTCCCAGAAAAAAGCAACTGAGAGCTCAGAGTTTGTTTTCCATGCCCTTACCTGTTTGTGAGCTCCTGGATGAAGCGAGATGCTCCCTCCCAGGCTCTTGCCACACAGTAGGACACCACAGGCACCAAGGGTAACCACCACACAGCACAGGTGGGCCAGCAATGGGCGGGCCAGGGCCATTGCAGTCTGGACAATGTCCTCCAACCTGGATGGAAGCTCTTCAGACAGCGGGGAGGAAAAACTGTGATATAACTTTAAAGGTCCTTGAGTGGCCTTTTTATGGGCTGGCAGGCTATTTATGAGCATCACTACTACAATTTATGAGCACAGCTATTTATGAGCACTTCTGAAATGTGGTTGATTTTTTTTTTTCTTTAAATCTTGGGAAACATGGAATTCTCCCACGTTAGATTTCCATACCATGACTCTATCCTATGCTGAGGAAACCACCCCTCATGGGACTAAACGTGTCTGCAGAGATCAAAAAATATACTGAAGCATGACTTCCTTGTCTTAATGCTGTTGGATTTCCACCTGTAGTGGGGTATTTCATTTCTGCAAAGGGTGGCGCTGTTGGGACAGGTGTCCTCAGAGCATCATGATTCAGAGACATGTTTACAAACCAGAGATTGTTCCTGTTCAGCTGATGAAGTGAGGCAAATGGGATCTCTGGTTTTGGACAAGCCATCCCAAGCCTACTGTGCTCTCTGATAGATCATCAGGCCAGCCCGGGCTGTATGACCCACACAGAGATGGCTGTAAGGTAGAAGACACCAAGAGTGCTTATGAATCCCCACTGTCTTATAACCCAATTGGCTTGAAATGGAGGCTGGAGCAAAAAATACTAAGTTATCTTATCTAAAAGTGTGACTGACCCTTCTGAGTATTCAATACCTGCTGGCAGAGGGTTCCCGAGGGTCCGATTTATTGCTCTTAGCTCTTGCAGGTTGGGGGAAATGTATGTGAGCGCTTTACAGCTGTCTGAGAGGAATGGCTTAGAGGCCTTGTTCTCATCTGTTGGCTCATAGCACACTTCAAAACAACATTGCAATTGGTTAGTTAATAAATTAATTAGTGTTTCATCTCTATGTCAGAGCAGAATGCAGTGTAGAAGGCATAGCGTGATCTGCACAACTGGGGTTATACGTGTCATCTATTAGAAACACAAATACTATTTCCCCCATGCTTGGGACAAGGTCTTCCCAAGATTTCCTTTCTGCTGCTCAGCAATGAGACAGTTGCTTCTGGCTCTGGAGTGATATAATCAGACTTCAGTTTTGTTACTCCTTTTAGCTGGTTTTGGAGCCTCTGCCAGGTTTTAAGAACATTCTTTCTCTCTTCAGGATTTGCTTAAAAATGCAGGCATAGCTCTAAAGGCTTAGGAAGCCTTGTGGAGGGTCCCCAGCATACCAGTGGAGGGGGGTATGTATTTTATGGGAAGTGGGAGAGAAATCCTCTCAAAAGATGCTTTAGCACTTATTCTGCGAAGGAAACTGTATTGCTGCTGAGACTAGCAGAAGCACACCTATTTGTGCTTGCCTTGAGATTAAAGGCAAAGAGAGCAGCTTTCCCTGGCTTTCTGGCAGTGCCTGAGGGCTATAGGACCTACAGTATGGGAAATGGGATTTAACTGGAGAATGAGAAAAACTCAGAGAAAGCAGAAATGTTTCATCCATTTGAAATAGAGTAGAAGAGTACAGAAAGAAGTGCTGAATAACACAGCACATCAGACAATAACCAAGTATCATCTCCAGCAAGCATCAGTGGAGAGCACTCAGGGAGTGCGGAGTGTCTCAGCACACGTGCAGTTAGGAGCTATGGGGCCAGGGCTTGGCAAATTCTCCTTACCTGCTAGCTGATGCTCTCTAGCTAGTTGGCAGATGTACTGAATAGTGGAAAGAGGCACATTTCCATCAATGCAAACTAGTGGGGCCTGGCACAGGTTCTTCTTGAACTGGGACACCTAGGGAAAATCCAGGACACAGTAGAGAAAGCTTGAGTAGTTGCAGAGGGACAAAACGATTGCTAGTCAGACTCGGAATGTAGGATTTTCACTCATATGGCAGCCCTCAGGTAAAAGCATGAACCTAAAAGAGTGATTCCCTAAGGAAAATGGATTTTTTAATTTGCCACATCTCCTCCCCTCTTCTTCTTCCCCTGCTCTCTATCATCAAGAGCTGAACTCAACTAGCAGGGCCCCTCCAGCAGAGGAAGATAGTTTCTGGTCCTCACGAGGCCACTTTGGTACCCGTGGGTCAGTCAGAGACCTACAGGGAAAGAGAATTGCTGCTCTTTAATGGCACTGTAGGATTTATGCCTGGCTTGACTATGCTTCTGCTTGTTGGGCATGTCATTTAGATGTCCTCTGTGCACAGTGCCTCCTAAGAGAGGTTGTTTATCAGAGTGTTTCACTTCTGGGTCCTACTGCATTGTGTAGGGATGGGGGACAGTGGAGCAGCCGAGTGGACAGCTGCTGTTCCCTCCTTTGGCTCTCTGAGGCTGCACAAGCACTGCCTGAACACCAGGCCCGTGCTGTAGGCACTCATGCAGCATCCCTCCCATGCCTCTGCTAATCCTGGCGGAAAGGAGGACTGACAGAAGGCATTTTGCAGCAGAAGACTGGTTCAGAGTTTCCCATGGCCACAACTGTTTCATAAAGCTCAGGAGAATTAATCTGTCAGGTAATGGTTTTCTGTGCCAAGGCTTGGGAGGGGCAGGGTGGGGATGGAAGTGGGAGCAATGACCATATTTTTCCCTAGGAAGTGTCCGCCTCACGGGGATCTCACTGGTAAGTAAATTGCACTTAGCTTCCATGTCGATGTCAGTCATGAAGCACAGGCTTTTGTTCTGTTGACAAAAGAATTCGTAGGGAAGGAGGGTGCAGTGATGGGGCTTTCACTGAATCAGTCCTTAATCACTGCTTTCATTAGCCCTGACAATTTGAAGGTCTGAATGTGCTGAGCAGCAGTGCCTGTTGGTACAACTCAGCATGTAGAAACAACAGGGATGGTAGGGAGGTGATGGAACAGGAAAACTTGCTTTAACTGGTGTTCTGTCCATTTTTTTTGTTTTTTCGCTAAAGGAAGAAAAACCATTTCTGCAGGTGGACTGTATTTATTACTGGCTTTAAGGTGCCAAAAATTGTAGGTTAGCTGGAACTAGTTAATGAAGATAATTCTGGCCTACATGTCATGGATGATGGCAGTGATGATACTATATGGAGCAGAAACAGATAGAAGCTCCATCTGGGACAGCAGCAACAGAGGGGTCTGGTAGCTTGCCATGCTTCTATCTCAGTGGCCAATTTCTGAGGTTAACTTCTGGATTTCCCATGTTCCCTCTGCACACCCACTCCCTCCTGATACAGTTTCAACAGTTGTCTTTTGTCACACGTCCATGCTCCTTCTCATAAGAAAAACCTTACAAATCAGATGGTATGCATACGTATTGCTCTGTTATTTGGCGGTGGATGTCCATATCTCCCAAGCCAAGGCTGAGCTCCCCAGCACTAGTGATCACAGCACAGTAAGTGGCTGTGCTCTTCCCCTCCAGCTGAAGGACGGCACTCATGTCCTGAAACAGAGAGGACAGTTATACATGGACATGTTTCTCTTCCCTGCCACACTCAGCTCATTCTTTCTCTGGGGCCACCTGATCAGTAGCCCAGCTTGCTGTTCTCACTTCAACCTCCCTTCTCCCTTGAGATGAACAACATTTCAGAGGTATCTCAGTCTAGACAGTGCTGGCAGATGGCTATTTTTTCATATTTGCAATGCAACAAATGCCACAGCTTAAAGAAATCATTTAGTAATGAGAGTGACAGCTCTCTGCTGTGCAGTTTTGTCTCTGTTGTAACAGAAGAGTGGTCTGAAGCTCTGCCTGATCGAGCTATCCATTCCCATAGCTTGTTTGACACTTCAATGGCCCTCCGACATGCTGCCATGTCTTGGTGGCATGCTCCAGCTGGCAGTTTATGTTAGCCACCTCACTGACTGCACAGCCTGACTTTGAGGGCAGCCTTGGAGCCATTTTTACAGCAGTGACACAGACATAACTATGAGGTGTCCTTCCTCTATGGGTCTTGTGAACAATCTGCTTAGAGAACTCAGGGCATTTCTTGGGGTATACATGTGGACAAAGAAATGTGTCCCCCGAGTAGTTCACAGGATAGCTGGAGGTTTTAAGAAAGGGTCCTCTCTAGCACTGATGGTAATGTGTTTTGTCACAGTCAAGGATTGCTTGGTGGCTGTCCAGCAAGTGCATCTTCCCCTAGGAGACTGCTCACTTTGATGACACAAATTGTGCTGGGTAGAGGAAGGATTATAGATCTGCTGCTAAGATGCTTTTATAAACCAAAAAAGCATTAATGTAATTGCTTCATTTACTGAGTTGCTCATGTAGGCAGAACTAAGGCCACAAGTGCTTTGTTTGGATACCAGGGCCCTGAGGGCAGTAATAGGCCTTAATAGCCCTGACCAGCCTCACCTGTGGTCTCCACCTACACCAGCTCTCCTCGCTTCTCTTCAGTCCTGCCTTTTCACCATGGAGGTGCTTGCTGCCCTAGGTTAGGGCTGCCCTCCTGGCTTTCTCTGCTTCCTGATGGGATGGTGATGTTCTGCCTTGCTGCCTCTGGTGAGCTCTTGCTGCTTCTGGCTCCCTGAGCTTGGACAAGCTGCTGCTTAAGTCAGGTATTCCTCTGGTGCATAGTTAGGGGTGTACAGATACGTGGAGGACCCTACTCCTCTGAACCTGGGAGGTGCCCAGCCTGGGCTCCCATTTCAAGGTTTTCTCTGCCTTATGCTTTACCCAAACCAGGCTGATTTTGGTATTGCTTTGTCTATTCTCAGGGTCAGGGTTTACATATTTCTGGCTGTGCATAGGCATTACTAGATTTTTTCATGGTTCCTCTGAATTTACCTTTCTCCTTCAAGCACCACTTCCTGGAGCTGAGCTCAGACCCCATGGTTCAGGCTCCAAATGGGACATACATCTAGCCTGTATTTTGGGGGGTGGCTCCTTGCCTTCTAATTGTCTGTAACTGAAGGAGAGTTGGGTTATTCTACCCTTAGCCTGATGGAAGGTGGCTCTTATGTCTGCCAGGGTTGAGAAGACTTTTCCTTCTATATAACATCATCACTTCCATGCTTCAGAGGTGCCACTACTGTGCAACATACCATGTGGTGACAGTAGTGCAGGACGGACTTGGAATGTTCATCCTTCCCCACAGCTGATAAAAAGAGAGGAGTCCGTCCAAGACGGCTTAAGCAGTCTAAAAAGCAAATGGAAACAAAAGATATTAATAAATCCATCAGAGTGCTGTGAACAGAGTGACAGCCTGTGCAGGATGAGTGTCTGTAGGAAAGCCTTTTCCTAGAAAACTTAATGCCCATCAATCCTTCTCTAGAAGGATGTTCAAGATGAAACCCAGCCACAGCTGCTGCAAATGACGTGCTGGGGTTGAGTGGGATGATCTATGTCTGCCTGCTGCACTGGCACTCTGAATTCTCTGCATTTTTTGGAACATCTGGGAGTGGAGGAAAAGAGAAGGGGAAAGAAACTTCTGCACTTCTCTGGCATCATCTCCTTTAACATCACAGGCATGTGGGCTTTCTCACGTTGCTTCTGTGCTTGGCCTTCCCACACTGCTGTTCCCACCATGCTGTTTTACTAGACGACTGAATCTGAATGGATTCACGGGAAACCCTTCTTCCTCTCCCCTCAAGTTACCATAAATTATACTTCAGTGGGTGGCATGGGTGGCCTTGTTTTCCCCCCTCGAGCTTCCCCATTTGTGATCTGAAGTGGTAGTAGATTTGTGTTAGGAAGATCTGAGAAAGGTCAAAAAGCCAGAATAATCCTAAAATAATTTTGCAATCTGCCCTTGCTTATTTCAGTACCCAAACACTGGTCTGCTGCTGCTTGTGGTAGAGCACCAGGTACAGCGTGATCCTTTCCTGTTGCCAAGGTCTGTAGTCCTTTTTCTTCTACCATAATTCCTGTGCCCCAGTTCCTCTTGTTCATGGTGCATGCATGATTATCTTGGAATAAGCTTATTCCTTCCAAATTCTTCTAAAAATATACTTCTGTTGCAACTATAACCTGGCATTCATTCAATGCTAAGGGCCAGGCTGTTCAGTAGTCATTGGAGATCACTGATGCTTATTTAACTTTGATTTGGGGTCACTGTGCTATGTGCTAGTTAACTTTATATTTGTGGACCTTTCTTTTCCTGAACCCAACTCCCTCCCCTCTTATTTCTTGGAATGGCCCCTGCCTTTTCCAGGCAGTCTGCCCACTGGTATATTGCCTAATGTGTCCCAGATCTTAACAGCATTCAGGAGCTCCTGCTGTTGAAGGACTACCAAAGGACAAATCACAGCTGGCACGCACCCACAGGCAAACCCAAGCATTAGGCACCTGCCAAGTTTCTTCCAACACCGCCAAAGGTTCGTCTCACTCTTCCAGCGTTTGTTTGCCCACCACCCTGGAAGAAGAAATTGTTAATTGGCAAAACTGGGAGGGCTGCTCAGCATAGGTGCTATGTCTCCATTAACATGTGAAGTCAATGTTGCTGAAATATAGGCCAGCAATTAGAGGGAGCAGAAGGCACCTAGCTATCGGACTGAGGGCAATACAAACTTCTACAGCCATCTACAGGCTTCAACCTTGATGACAAAGTCCTGCTTCCTAAGAGGGGAGATCTGCTTGATCTCCTCGTATATTGCTGTTTTGGTCTTATTTGCTAAGACCTCTTAGAAAAACGTTAATGAGTGTTTCAGTTGATATAAGTAGCCTTCTGAACTTACTTGCTCACAACAGCTCTGGGATTCCAGAGCTGCTGACCCAGCCCTGATGGTGTCTGCAGCTGCCTTCCAGGCCACCTAGCTCCCTCCTTAAGCAGTTTGGTTTATTTATTTTCCTCTTTGAAATTAAAATGAGATGTGTTACCTTTTCCTGTACTGCCTCTGTACTGTACTCATGGAAGGATCTGTTTCATTGTCTGAACAATTTTTCACTTACCCTTCTCTTCCTAAACATCTCCCTCATCAAAAATATCCTTCTTCTCCACCTGTGTGGTTATCAACTTTTCTCTTGCCTCTGCCTTCCATTCCTCTGTCAGTCTGTCACAAACACCCAAATTGTCAGAGCACAGGCAATCCCTCAACCATCTCCTCTTCCAATTCTTCTGCCAGAAGAATTACATCAGTAAATGCTCAGATCAATTTGGGCTTTATCTGGCTATCAAATGTTTTTAAAGCTCTTGTTTCAAAAATCCTGAAACATACTTTCCATTTCTGAAGACATCTTGCCACTGGCGGTCATAATGATCTTCATGGTTCTGGATAAGTCAGAGCTTTCAAGAGTTTGTTGAGTGTTTGGGTGGCAAGCACTGAAGTGTCTGCGTACCTACACACAGCAGCTCCTAGCTCAGATTCTCTCTGCCCCATGTTAGCCCAGGTGTACCACAATACCCCTGCACTACACATTTTTCTTGCTTGTGAACACCACTATCTATCCTAAACAGATAAATGTGTTGCCATCTTGTAGTAAGAAATATTCTGCCTGCAACCCATCACTGTTCTTGGGCATTCCTGAAACTCATACTGAAGCTCCCCAAGGACCCTTCTTCTTCCCCTGTGTGAAGCTGTACGTCTGTCCTTTGCACACAATGCTTTCTTCTGCATCCAGTCCTATGACTGTAAGAGGCTGCTCTCCCATTTAAATACACTCTTTTATTACTCTCTTCTGACCTCCAGGCTGTTTTTGTTTGCCTTGACTCTCCAGTTTTGTAGTCTGTAAGACTTGGTGCTAATTCTTGGTTGCCTTTGCTTTTCTGTCTGGCAGCTCTCCAAGCCCTGATCTGCTCAGACCACCTGAGCAGAACTGCATGTATATAAGCAACCTATGGCCTCTGTCCATCTTTCCACTACTTGTCACTCCTTATTAACCCAAATGCCCCTCTGTTGCATTTGCTTATGCTCCCTGGGAATTGCCACTGGTACTGCCAGGAATGAGGATATTTCCATCTGCAACTGTCTCCTGTTGAGTGTTGCAGATTTCGAAAGCACTGAGCTTGTCTATTTTAATTCTGAAGCTCACTACCCATAATAGAAGCAGCCAAGGGGGAAAAAAAAACCCAAAAAATCCACCACCACCACAAAAACCCTACTCCAAAGTAAAAAGCAATGATTCTTGTTTAGGCAAGTCAACATGGCTTTGAACACTGGCCCTGATTTCAGTGTTAAAAGAAGGTACTTACTGCCATCAGTAATGAGCACAAACTCTATTTTATGTAGTTCCACTATCTGCTCTTCAAAACTGGCACCTGCAAGAACCTTGAAAATACTCATGAGCTGCTTTCATTGTCTGGCACACTGGCCTTCTCTTTTAGTCCTCCACACATCCCAAAGCAGTTTCAGATTTTTTTGCACCAAGCCTTGCCCCAACAGCAGCTCCCTACCAGCCTCCCACTTACAGACCCAGCTGTGGGTGACCTCTGCTGTTGTACAACCCCACAGAGCTTTAAAGTAGTGGAAGGATGCAGTGAGAGAGAAACTAGCAGCCTGCCTTTCAAGAAAATGACTGGCTTTCATTGTACATTGCCAGCTCAGCTGGTAACTCCAAGTCTGAGTAGTACTCGGGTGTACCTTCTACACTGTGTTCAGGTGGGGTTGGCCGAGATGTAAACTTAGATGAAAATGGGCTGATGCTTTCTGGCAATGTTTCAGAGAACTGAGCCTCGGGGACCTTCTTCCATGTCCTAAGAAGTTTGAATCCCTAACATAAAATGAGATTCTGCTCAACTTCTGGGTATCCTAAGAGAGTTATAACCATAATGCTTTTTCTAACACCTTTCTATGAGCAAGACCATGCACTGGATAGCCTTGAAAGCCATGTGGGAATTACAACCAGGACAGATGACAGTTGCTTTCTTGCTGAGACAGAATGTGGTCTGAGTAGTACCCCAGTGCTCTGCAACAAATCCAGCATGCATAAGGGTGGGGCCTGCTGGGTGCTGAGCCCTTTGAAAAAATCTGTCCTTAAAAGCCAAAACAAAGCAATTTTTTGAGAGTGCCTTCTCCTCTGTGCTTAACCACAGCAGCTGTCAGCAGGAATATTTTGGCTCTCAGTTCCCAAATCCTCCTGCAGCTTGGCATTTGTGTAGCTGCCACAATGGACTGTCAGCTTTAGGGCTCACTGCTATACAGAAGGGCAGCTAAAGCCTCACTTTTTCATACAACATTAAAATCTCTTTTTTCCTTTTCTCACTTCAGCTGTTCCAAGGGGGGTTTACAGCTGCCCTTGGCCACTCACCATGCCTTGGGTGGTCCAGGGATCTGCACTCACTTCTGAGGCCACGGGGTGGCTGCCCACCCTTGGACACAGCTTAGCTCCTTGTCCTGATAGCTGAGTGTGGGCTATGCATGTTATCAGTTAGATCACAGCTGAAGCAGTTGAACTTTTGGTTTTGAAAGCCTTCATAGCTGATGCCACAGCATGTGTCACCACTGACCATTGTAATACTTTTTGGTCTCTGGCTCTGTAGCACTGAATAGCCAGCTCCTTTAAGGACAGCTTCCCCAGCAGGTGTTTCTCTGACTGAGAGGTCTTCACAGGCTGCCCCATCTGACAGCAGGAGTTTCCTGCCTTGGCAGGAAAAATAGAGTAAAAAAAAAAAAACAAAACCCAAAACCACAGAGTAATTTGAGACACCAAACAACTTCTGAGCAAGCTTCACCACCTCAATCTGTAGTACTTCATATAGCTCAACAAAAATTTGCAGACTATGCAAATGGCTGTCATTTGCATGGGGAAGTCCCAGGTCTGTTCCACTTTAGCTTCTTGGATGTTTCTTGATCAAACAAAATTGAGAGGAAGAAGGTCTCGTAACATTTAAAATGTTCTATTTTTTAAGCAATCTTTTTCTTTCTTTTTTTTTTTTTTTTTTTTTTTTTTTTTTTTTTTTTTTTTTTTTTTGTGACTCAAATCCTTTATGACAGAGGAAGTTGGATCTCTTGTTTAGCTGTGTGTCAGTACTAATTTTCTCAAAGGTTTCTTACCACTGTGGAGACACTTGCTCCTATTCATGCTCCTTTCTGTAGCTAAGACAGTCCCAGGTGGCCAGACCTGGCTCTTACCTAGGGATTTCCTCCCTATAAGGTCTGTTCTTGAATTACAGGTTGTCATAGCACAGTGAGGATCTCTACCCATTGCTTCTAGCTCTTTGCATATGTGCTTCGAGAGTGCCCTGGGCAGCTCTTCTGCTAAAAGAGCAATTCGGGCTTACGGCAGCAGAAAATAGCCAAGGTACCTTAACTTAGACTGTAGAGGCCAAAGTCATATGTGGAGATTGTAAGGATGATACATTGCTCTGTGCCTGTTCTGAGTGGTAGGGATAGTGGCTTTCAGCACAGAACAGAGTAGGTTGGTATGTATCACTCCATTGCCCACCTAGACAATGCACCAAATATGCAGCACTACACCTCCCAGGTTTGCGCATGTGTGTGCATACAGATATGTGGATACCATGCACAGATACCACCCTCCCCCCCACCCCTCTTTGGCTTGGCACTCCTGTAAAAGTATCTGGAAATTACAGTGGAGCTTAGAAAACTGCTATAGATACAGTACCAGGATGACAGGGTTCTGTGCCTTGGCTATAAAGTCAACGTTGATACCTCCAATCACGACCTTTAAGAGGGAAGAAAGAGGTAAAAAGCAGTTGGAAGGACTTGAGGAAAAAGTTCCAAGTCTCTCTCTTGAGAGCTGTGTAATTTACAGTGTGAAGCCCTGTGCTTAGTTTGGGTGGCTAGACACAGGTCTGTACAAACCTGATTAGAGAGAATCTAAATTTCTTCCATATATTGCTTTCTGAATTATGCCTGCTCATAGCCAGCCCCAGCATGGCAGGTGGGATGTTACTGTGTACATATATGGGTGCTGGCAGTTTCTCTGTGTAGTGGTAGAGTAATATAAGAAGTTGCATGGGTCTGGCCGTATCAGTGTCCTTGAAGCCATCTCTCTTGGGACAGTTTCTGACATATCAAACCTCAGAAACATTTAAGCACTGTGGTGTGGGGGAAAAAAAAAAAAAAGAGACAAAGAAAATGGGAAAAAGTAGGCAGAAAAATGCAGTCATTTCTCGCAAGCTCCCAGAAGAAATTGCCATACCCAGTGACACTTTATGGATCACTGTCTTATTGTTCTACAAAGCCAGAAAAAGCAATACAGCTCCACAAACAGGATGTTTCCAGATTCTTTGGGGACATAGAGTTTTTTCTTCTTGTTCCAATCAAATGCTGGGTTATTGTCTCTAGAGTCATTCCCTCTTTTATGTTGACAAATCCTATCGCAAATGGGTTTTAGAAAATTTTTCAGCTCTCTAAAGACTCCCTAAAATAGATTTCTTGTAAATTATGTGGCCCATACAAAATCCAAGATAGTGAATAGAGTATTAGTTATAATGGATCTTGTTTGGGATATTCTGTACCTCTTGTAATTCTGGCAGTCATGAGCAAGAGGCCAAAAGAGATATTTATAAAATGTGTAAGGCTCAGCAGCTCAAAATATCTCGCTCCATCCTTTTCCAGGTCTGCTCCTGTAGTCACGAGTTCCCTGGCACTGAGGGCAATACAGATGAAGTTGTAAGTAAGGGCACAGTAAAAGGTGAAAAGGCAATTAAAGTTTTAATGGAGTTGATGGTCTAAGACTTTATGAGATGAGGCCATTGTCAGTCTTTATTCCTTGTAAATGTGAATAAGGGGAGGAGGAGAGGATATTTATCTGAGAAGAATAAAAAAATACTAAAGACAGAATGTCTGCCAGCGTGAATCAGAAAGATTGGCTTCTAGCTGAGTCACCTTTTACTTTTGGGAATAGATATAAATTTATCCTGTGCTGTCAGCAGAGAGGCATTATTTGGAGGACAGCAGGAGACTCACTGGTTGAGGTGGGATTGTGTCCTCTTGCCAAGGCAGGTTCCCCTTCCTTCTGGCTTTCTGTAGTTTGCTCAGGGCCACTGTAATGCAGCTGCCCACCCTGGCATTGTTCTGGATCAGAGCAAGGTCTGTTTGGCATTTCTTTGAGGAAAAGAAAAAATAGCAGCAAAATTGACCTGTCAGAAGCCTACAAAGCCTAGAGGGAGAACACAGAAAATACATGCTGTGAGAACTGATCCCTCTATACCATAATCCTTTGGGGACATACATACTGGGTTACAATACTGCATGCACACCCTGAATTTTTTTTTAAGTTTTTTCACCTTCCTCCCCCTGTGTCCACAGAGAGGGAATCTGTCATCTCAATTTGACAGATAGGGAATGGAAACAAAGCCTTCACAGAGAAAAAGAGAAGGTGAAGTACTTAAACTAGAGCCAAAAGTCTAAAAAACCTTGGAGGATCTTGGCTAGCTTTTCCAGAAAGAGATGCCTACCAAGATTTTTGTCAAGACTCTATAAACAATTTTATCAGTTTCCCTGGGAGCAGAGTATCAGAGGCTTTGAAAGCCCCACTTTGTGGCTGCATACAGCTCTAATATCCAAAAATGCCTTTAATCAATCTGACCTGACTGACTGGGTCTCCTAGACGGCTGGCAGCAGAGCCTGGATGTGAATCCAGTTCTTCCAGATCCTACACTGGCATCCCAGCCAGTAGATCTGTTTTTCTCTTACCTGTGCAAGAGGATTCTGGCCCACCAAGGGGTGTTTGCCTTCCAAGTTTCTCTTACTCTGCATCCATGTGAAGAATTGGATAAGGCAGTGTGAGGTATAGCACAGGGCTCTGGGAAGACCAGGTACCTTCCAGTGGGCAACCCCACCACAGACAATGGTGTCCTGAGACTCCACCACAGAGCAGGCAAGCTCAGGAATCAGATGTGAGGGATCTCTTTGGGCTTGGGACCACTTGCTGTCTGTGCTGGCCTCCAATTTTTAATGCAAAAGTGAATAAGGTGTTCCTGAAAAAGCAGGATGCAGTTGCTAAGCTCTCATCTGCAGATGCTGAAGTGTTTGCCCCTTGCTAGACTGTCAATAAAGTGATAGCAGTTTCCACCAAGCGTTATCAGAAGAGATATGAAGTACACTGGAGTACCTTCCCCACGCCCCCATTCAGTAAAAGGATACTGGAGTCCAGTGACCTCCCATCAGTTAATTCATTGAGCTTCTGTAACATAAAAGGTGTTAGTTCTTTGCCTGTGATCCCTTTGGACCTGCAAATGTAAAGAAAATGCCTGCAGATGAGATGACTGAGCTGAACCAACATCAAAGAAGCAGCACTTCTGCTAGCAGATAATTTATCTCCTGAACCATATACCCTAAAAAGTCCTATAAACAAGATTCAGGCTAGGTAGAACTGTGGTTGAAAGCATGTTGTGAGCTCACTGATGCCCACAGTTAAGTTGTGCTACAGCCCCTGCAGCAGTGTCCCTGGAGTTGTTTACTTCCCCATGACCCCTAGGTGAGCAAAGGACAAGGCTTAGGTTGTTTCTCACCTGGCTTCGCTGAGAGCTTGTTGGATGGCCTCTTCAATCACCTGGCCTGAGGCAGCTCGCTCCTGGGGACAGGGCACGGCTATCAGCACCCCGCTGCTCAGGCCTAGCCCCAGAGCACTGGCTGGGAGAGACGGGCAGATCATTAGCAGTTCTTGGATAAATCAAATGCTGAAGGAACAGGATAGAGGAGAGTGGGTGTGGGGTGAAGAGCTGGAGCTCCTGTTTTTAGCTGACCTAAGGACAGGTTCTCTTCTGCTACCAATCACTTTACATCTGCCTGTTTCTTATGAGTCTGTACAATAAAAGGGGCAAAGAATTATTTTTTTAAATAAAGAAAATTAGTTCTACTTCTGAAGGCCCTGTTTTTGTAGAAACATTAACATACATGTTCCCTTCACTTCACCAGTGTGAACAAAACATGTATGGACAAGCCAAGGTGGCTGCAGCTAGCTAAAAAACTTGTAAAGACTGAACTTCCCTGCTACTTTATATTCAAAACACTGAAGCAGGAATGGGGAAGGTAGGATGGCTTGGGTTTTGGGACAACTCTTCTCTAAAGTTAAAAAAGAAAGTGCCTCATCCAAGGTGATTTTTGGGTCCCCCTTTTCCAGGGCCTTACATGGGCCTTTCCCTTTTGAAACACACCAATGAGTTCAGCTGCTTCCTTTTCATCCCGGACATGATATGGTGCCTGGAAACCACTCTGGCGTGAGAAGAAGGCTGGGAACTCCCTTGACTCTCCAAAGGCAGCTACGCAGACTCCCTGAGTCTCCTGCAGCAGTGGAGGTGAGACAAGCACGTAATCAGTGGAGGGAACCCACCAGAAGAGCAGCACATTTTCCTTCTACCCAGCTAGAAACTACTTTTTTTTAGCACAAGGTTTGGTTATTTTTATACATCCTGTTCTATCCCATTCTATCACCAACAGTTTTCAAAGTAGAGAGGCAGACATGGTAGCTGGTTAGACAGAATCTGGCTTACTGAGGCACAGGAGACATGCACATCTTTTGCTTGGGCTTGGAGCTTATCAAAAGCCACGCAGCTGTCACTAGTGCAATACTGAGTCCAAGGTAACAACCTGTGATCTGAAGACATGTCATGAGCTGACAGGAATATAAATGAGTTCTGTCTGTGATTGAGAAGTACTGACATTGGCTGTCAACTGAAGTGCTGGACCTGGTGGTTTCCAACATACCAGAACTTAAAAAGTGACTCTCTTAAAAATAATCTCGATTCCCATTTTAATTCTGGTTTTTATTTTAGTGTTTGATGGATCTAGCCTGCCGGATCCATCAGTTCTGTAGTGTTTTCCCAGAAAAGCAAGTCTAAGGCCAGAGAAACATGGTGTGGCTAGCACTGCCTTTGGCCTCAGCTGGAATAGCTGCTGGCACAGCCCCTTGCTTTAAGCTAGGGAGCAGCCCAGAATTTCTACAGCCCCAGGACTAGAGTAATGTAAATATGGCTTCATGTCCTCTCAACAGACATTTTAAAAAATCTTATGCTTAATACCTACCCCCAAACCACTGGGCATTCTGTACACAAAGTACAACATTATCTGCTTTCAGGCTCAGTAGCCCATGCTACATACCAGATATTCCAGTGTCCTGCCAATATCAAGGATAGACTTGACTCCTGCAGATACAACAGCAACCGGAGTTCTTCCTAACTCTGTCAAGTCAGCACTCACATCCAGACCTGTCAAGGGACAAGCAGTTGTTGGGTGGGTGATTGTGTTGTACTCCAACCTGATGTGATCTGTCCTCTTAAAAAGCTCTATTTGCCTGGGATGCCACTGCCTGCTTTGGTAACCATTTAGATACATGAACAAGTGTTACGGGTTTAGATTATGCCTTTAAGTGTTGAGATTGTAAGAGATACTGACAAAAAGAAGTTGCATGACTTAAGGCAGAGGTGCAGCCTTGCACTGTATCTCTCAGCTCTTTGATCACATCGATAAACAGCGTGCAAAAAAAGGGTATAAAAGAAAAAAGAAAGTGTTATAAAGCAAGGACAAAATTCAAGGAGATAGAATATAATTTAAGTAGATTTTGACGTTGGTATTGACATCACTGGCAAAAAAAGCACCACAGGAGCTTTGCTGCAGACCTCAGGAGACTCACTGGTCTGGAATTTACATCACATCTGAAAGGGATAGAATCCAGCAGGGCACTTACGTTATGCTAGGGATATATATGGCTAAGAAGAGAGAATGTACTTAAAGGTCACAGATTGCACTGCCAAAGCTTGGACATTTTCCAGAGAGGAGCATGCACCTCTAACATGGACCAGGGTCCAAGTCTCTTTTTTGGTAAGACTCTCCTTCTCACCTGAGAGTCAGTAACAACACTGTGCTCAGTAGCCAGTATCAGGTTACCCAGCCACTACAAACTGGGAGAGGTACAATCAGCTCCTGTTGCACCAGCAAACAATATCCATATAAGTGTGTAAGCAAAGCATAAAGAGAAACTCCCACCCTCTTAACAACTGGCCAGTGCTTGAGAGGAATATTCAGAAGCTTCTGGAAAGGAGATGCTGGGAAGAAAACAACCACAGTATAGTCAAGAAGAATGATAAATTTACTCTTCTGAGTGGACAGTTACTGTAGGACAGATGGGGAAAAAGGAAAAAGATGGAATTAAATAAAACAGTAGCAACATTGAGCAAAGTAGAATGTATTGATTTTCTTACTGTTCTCTCCTCCCCGATGGACACCTCCTATGCCACCTGTCACAAACACGGGGATTCCTGCTTTGTGTGCAGCAATCATTGTTCCAGACACTGTAGTGCCACCAGACAAGCCCTGTCAGGGGACAGCCAGTTGCAGTCAGCACCCAGGGTGGCCCACAGAATACCACATGCAGGCAGCTATGGTTGTGGTCTATCACACAGTATATCTATCACACAGAATATCTATCACACATCACTAATTTGTGGTCTGTCACAACAGCCAGCTCTTGCAAGCTGGTAAGTGAAATTCTGATACTAATATTCTATAGGGCAAAACTGCAGAGGAATCAGTGTCCCTGCTACATAAACTGTTCTTGCCCTGGTGACAGCAAAGGCCTTTGTTCACCAGGTCTTTCCAACCCGAAGGCTTCAGGGGCAGCTAGGGTGACCTTAAGCACTGTGTGTGTTACTCAGGCTGGACTGCATGTCATATAGTTAACACGTAATGCAATGATGCCTTATCATGCCAATAAGAATATTCTTAGCCAAGTGCTCATGGCTTACCAGCCAATCCAGAATGACTTTTCAGGAGATGTATTTCATGGCTGTTATTCTCTCATTCTGTTTTTGACTCTAGATAGGAATTTGAATTTACCAGTAAGACACCACTTTACATGATATTTTCAAAAGGTTTAAAAGCCACCTGGCTTGAAGCTGGAGAGGACTATACTATTGCCATATAGAAAACACCACAATAGAAAGTCTGCATACCATACCTGGCTGAGGACGAAAGGAAGATCTCTCCGAGACACTTTAACTACATTTTTACTGCTTGCCAAGAACTCAAGTTCCTCATCTGTGAGTCCCACATGGATCTGACCCTTTAAAATACCTACAGTGGCTGGCACTGCTCCGTTTGCTGTTACAATTTCTTCCACCTCTCTGGCCATGCTAGAATAAGATGAACAAGACAACAATGGCAAAATTAGTGAGGCAAACAATCAGACAAGAAGACTGCCGTGTTTGGTCATGATTCCCAGTTTCCAGTTTTATACAGTTCTTGGGATTTCAGTGAAGTCCAGTTCCTCTTCTGTATCTTCCTAATGGCAGAAGTCTTTGCACTTGAATTTGCAGAAATGCAGAGCCCCCATTTACAGGACAGCAATGTCCAAGCTCTGTGCTTCATTTTTGAGAAAAATCACTTGGTTTGAAGACAAATCCGGTTGTACATTAGACTACTGAGAACAGGGATCTTCTCAAAATAGGACCTTTCTGTGTCCGTTACCTGGTATTTATCTGAGATCATAGACCTTCACAGAAACCCCAGGTAATTCAAGCCCTGCTCAACGTCCCTCAATATATCCCTGGTCAGAGCCCTAACTGGGATATATTTTTCACAATACAAGCAGTTAGATATAGAGTAACAGTGCCAAAAAGCTGCAGCCTGAGGATACTCAAGGGCTGCAGACTAGGTCTTTCTAACCTTTGCAGGTTTTATGCTTGACCACTCATACTCTATTCTTTTTAAGAGCAGCTTCTTCTCTCTTTTTAAGCTATCTGTAGATATGCTAGGCGATCTTTAACTACTGAAACTACCTCCTCCCCAAAACTGAGTTTTTAGAGCTTCATTCTAAGACAGAATATCAGACAGAATAATGGCCAGGTAAAAAGCAAGATGGAAAATCAATACTGAAACCTTCCTGTGCTTTCTGGAAGCAAGGATGGAGGGGACAGTGGAGTGATTTGTGGCACTGTAACTCAGTGAAACACAAGTCTACTGAACATCAATAAATAAAGGGTAGAAGTGAGGCATTTTCAGTGTGGGATACAGAAGGCGGCGAGAGGAACCAGCAGCTTTCACAGTAGCTGTTCTGAGTGGTGCTAAGAAACAGACTTCATTATTGTGTTCCAATCCTTGTTGCATTACAAAAGATATACCAGAAGAAACTGCAGTGTTTTCAGTGTCTGTGCAAACTATGCAGCCAAAAAGGCTAGTAGCTCTCTTTTAGAGCAGGTGATGACATCATCTGCTGCCACATTTTAAAGAAAGACAGAAATTTAAGGTATTGGATAAGGACACAAATGGGTACCCCATATGTGTCCTTAAAAGTCCAGATACAGTTGTTTTACACCAGAACTCATATTCTGCACACCTAGCAACATGACATTTCCATTTGCTCTTACAAAGGTTTTAGTTTGACTAAGTATACTGATACCAATCCACCAGTTATATGCCTCATTCTTACAACTTTGTTGAATGAGGAACATCAAAATCCACCACCTCAGATTCTGAGGATAGGCCATGCCATGTGTAATGATGGTGCTTTCCAAGGCTACGACTGGTCTCCCCTCCATCAGGGCTTCCTGTACTGAGGGCTGAATCTTGAAATAAGCACCTGAGGATAAACACAGACAATTGAATTATTTGCATGGACATTTGCAGTAACTACTTAGTGGTTTTATAAAAGGCAAATTGTCATCATCACAATAAATTTATTCCCCTCTTCAGCTGTTCTTTAGAGTGAATTCACAAATAACTTCACAAAGTCTAAAGCTGTGATTTAGGCAAGTGAAAAATTTGTGAAATACCTCCACTGTTAATAATAACCCTCATCATCATCACTAAATGCTCCTCTGACACCATTTTTGCATCTGGGTTGTCAGTGGCTCCAGTAACATTACTTTAAATCAACATTACTGTGAACAAACTGAGCCCTGCAACCATACCCAACGATTATGTTTTAAAAGAGTGGAATCACTAAGGATACCATAGTAACTTAATATATGACTATCATGCATCAAGACTATTGTTGCTCTTTGCTTTGCTCCCAGAATACTGGCAGCAAGGTCCCTGCTGCATTTAGATGAGGAAAATGCTTGCAACCCAGGAACTCTTTCTGAATATGCTACTCACCATGCAGAAATCTTCTCACCTGGGTGGACCCACATGCTGCAGCGGACGCATGTCTTCCCAGGCTATAGGTTATCTTCCTAATCATCTTGTGCATACAGATGGTCCTGAGATAAAAAAAGTCAGGTAAAAATGAAAGTAATTTAGCGATGATATGACTATGTGAAGCTAAACATATCATCTCTTGCCTTGATCTTGGAAGGTAAACTACCCTTGCCCAGATTGCCTGGAGATTCTTAGTGTTTCAAGCAGGAGCCAGGGTGTCCAAGCAAAATGATAAACTGCGGAAAAGGAGCTAAAAGAATTTACCTGACCCATTGTCAATGCTGGGCTGAAATCACAGTGGAGCAGAGGAAAGGATAAGGAGTAACAAACTACAGGGATTTTAGAAGTAGACAACCTTTTAATTTCCAAAACTACTTGCTCATGATAAATTACAGGCTCTGCCACTGCCACCTCCAACCTGAAAGATCACAAGGATAAATTTACAAGGCAGAAGAATGCTATAAAGAGATTAACCCGATTTTTTACTGTATCTAGGAGGAAACAAGCAGTTCGATGAAATAAAGAAAGGAGCTGAGAAGTGGTAAACCAGACTGTAACTCTTAAGGAGGAAAGACCAGTTTTCCTTAGGGCCAGTGGTGCTTTATGTAGGCTCATGTTACATCATCCTTCTTAGCACAAAGCTTTGGAAGCAGAGTGGCAATTCAGCCCCAGCAACAAACTCCAGAACTTCTCTGGTCTCTTAGCAACTCCTATTCACTTTAATTAAATTCATTTCCAAACAGAGAAAGAGGGGGAGAGAGTTACAAAGGTTAAGAGACTGGTCTGGTCTGGGCCTCAGCACAGTTTCACTTAACTGCCTGGCTTGTTTCACTTATTTTCCCTGGGCATTTGGCCATATTCCTCAAGGGGGATAGGCCTCCAAGAGGAAAGGATTTTTTTTTCTGTTCTTTGTACCTATTGTTAATTTGGATGGCAAATTAATTAGAATACAGAACTGTGTTCATGTTACACTTAGCAGAACATGGCTCTGATCTCAGTACAGTGTGTGGCACTACAGCTATACAGAAACATCTTACAGCCAGGAAAAGTATTTTTTGCTGAAATTTAAAGACTTCAGCTACACAGGACAGCTTGGGCTGTGTAATGCAAGAAAAGAGGGACTGGTTCAGCTAGACAAAATACACACCTGACTGAAACAGTAAGATTTACCACTTTCCAAATCCTTTTTACGGACAAAAAACTTAATTAAGTTTATGGAGTCTTATCATTACAGAAAAGCGGGAAAAGCTCTTACTTTACATTTACAACCTCTGCCTGTGCATTGCTAAGCAGTCAGCAGCCTGATCGGTTCATGCAAATGTTAGCTATCTGTGTGTGTCTGTGTGTGTGTCTTGTGTACACACCCCTCGCTCTCCGGGGCAAAGTCAGCCTTGGAATAAATTCATTAAGCCAACAAGGTTACGCCAAGGATGGGTTGAGCTGCTCGAGTTGTGCTCTGAATTTTAACAACCCCCCAAACTCTAAAGCACAACAGCCAGGACTGCCCAAGCTGTGTTGGCTGGTGGATAAAAACCAGCTGGTCACCACCTGAAACCCAATATGAATTAGCTGATGGCTGCTGGAAACTCAGCCAACACTCAGCCTGAGCTGGCTGAAAGGTTTTTGAAGCTTGGCAAGTTTTGCAGTGAGACCCGTCCGACCTTTCACCTTGTAACGAAACTTTGCAGATTCCTAGGTGGATTTCGGGCAGCTCTAGCACGGACTGCCTTTCCTCCCTCTTCCAAACCGTCCCTGCTCGCCTCCCCTCATGATCGATCCGGCGCATCTGACCTCATGGAGCAATGGCCTGGCGTGTCTCTTACCTCCGGGCGTCCGTCTCCCGTGGGGATGCTGGGTGGCTACTGGAGCGGTGCCTGGGCAGCCCGGGGAGAAGGCGGGAGGAGGGGGCGCTGGCAGCAGCATGGGGGTGCGCAGGCCGGCGCTTCTGGCTGAGAGAGCCCATTTATTATTAACCACAGGCGCAGCTGAGCTCTGCAACTGCTCACTGCCCCGGGTGCAGGGGGCCATTTCACAACGGGGCGAGGAAAGCTTCTGTGATTATTTTTGTTCACACAGTGCCAGATTTTCCCCCTCACTCTTTAACAGACTTTTCTCATTTTTCAGATTCCTTTGCTGTTAGATTTTTTTTTTAATCGGTGAATTCATTGTTCACTAAAACAATGCTTCTGCAGACTGAGCCCCTTTGTACTTAATCCTAAAAAGCAGAGGAATTGCATTCATGCCTCTCCCACAACTTCGCCCAATGCAGCTGTTAAACTCTTTCTTCTCGGGGTGAGAGCTCTACCCTGCTCTTGGCCTCCCCAGCCAGAAACGCTGTAGGTCTAAAGCCAGTTGTAGCCATACTCCATATAACGCAAATGCCTGGCTACATTGAGAATACAAACTGGGTTTACAGAGAAAAACTATCTTAGTGTCCTACTGTAAGACAATCTATTCTAACAGGTTTAGGGTAGCTTTGAATAAGGACTTTGAAATTAATAAATCTTTGTTCCTTCATAAAAAAGCGAGGATACTCTGAGATCTAGTGCACAGACATTATGCAAGTTTCGATTTTGTAGTCTACAGAAAATAGCAGAGGTCAGAGTTAAATGGCTACCCATGAAGGAATTGATTTATGGCATAATAGACAAGACATGATTCTATGCAACTTCCATGCATAACATAAAACTAGCTAAAGCAATTGCTATCTTATTGCTGAAGCAATCAGTGTCAGGGAACTGATTTTACTGCAACAATTAATCAGGAAATTGTAAAACATAGTATGTTAAAGCGGTATTCACACTTTATCCTTGTCCCTTTCAAAAGAAGTTTCCTGCAACTTTTGTTTAACTCAGCAGTCACGAATGTCATCTTATTTTCTATGTCCTTCCAATCTTTTTAACTAAACATATTCAAGGAAACTTCAAACAAAGCTTGCTAAATTGCAAAGACAATTCACCTCCAACTTCTGCTACGCCTTCTGCAGGGACTTTAATTGCACAAATGATAGATTGCATCCTCAGATACCATAAATGGGTGCTGAAAATTTCGTGAATGGTATCTTCTTCCTGGGTGGATGGGTAGCCAGATCTATTGAAAAGAAAATGTGTAAGTAAAATTACATTTTTGAAGCATATACACAAATTATAATGGCATTATCTTACTTTCAATTAGATCTATTTGGAAAGACTGCAGTAATGCAGAAACCTATCTGGGCTATCACATTTTTGGCATGCTACCAGATGATGATTTAGTAATCAAGCTGGTCACTCAGATTCCGACTCTCAAGATCAAGATAATCTCAAAATGGTCTTATGCAGCAGGCACCCATTTCAGTCTGCCATATCAGGTAAGTTAGGGGTAAGAGTATGTTGCTTGATTTTCAGTTTTTCTCCTCCAACCAAGTGGAAAATCAGCCTATTGGATTCCTAGCTCAGCTTTCCAATATGAACCTGTAGGTCTCTGAGACAAAATGGGGCCACTCAAGCACCTCTCTTGAGGGTACTACTGCAGTCTTGAGCACATCCCAGGTTTTAGATTTGTATTTTGTGTTTATTATCATGAAGATAAGAGCTTATATGAACAATTTTCAAGGGCTAACCCCATCTTTTGCTCTACTAGAAAAGCCACGGAGGCTTGCTGAACCAGAAAGGGAACAGGCCAGTTTGATACCTGCCAGCCCCCGAGAGACAGGCTGGCTGTGCTCTTCTTGGCACATTTCTTACATGGGATGTATGGCTCATGATGGTACAGGGGCTTGGGCGGCAGTCAGGACTACAGTGCACAGGTGACTGCAGAAGAGATAGCCCCAGAGAACTGCTGGAGAAAGTTTCTGTAGGAAACTGGGGAGGCTGCAGTAACTCACCCTTCTGCTTGCTGCAGCTTTAGCTGACTTTCCAGTCCTACCTGCCTGCAGAGGCCCAGAGTGCTTGCTGCTGGCACTTCCCCCTCCAGGCCTCAGAAGTAGAGGTTAATATTTAACAGGTTGCTGGGTAAAATGGGAGCGGCTGGGAACAAAGAAAGCGCCATGGCAAATTCCTACTGCCTGCTGGGAGCTGGGCTCTCCAGCCACCCTTGCAATTTTCCTCTGTGATTCCTTCCTGAGTTACCATCTCCTCCGAAACCTTTTCTCTCTCAGGGGTGTCACTACCGAAGGCATTAGAGAAATTAGAAGCTCCACATTAAATTTGGCACATTAATAATAAATAATAAATTGGGCACATTAATACTGTTACATCTGCCTTGGGACGGTATTTTCCTTTCCCTGTGTACCTGATTTCTAAGAGTTTCTTAACCTGCAGCAGTTCTGAGAGCTGGAACAGGCTTATTGGTGTCTCCCTGTTGTGAAGCTTGCTCCTAGGCCACCAGTATCTAGGAGATGTGAGAGAGACATGCAGAACCATAGAGAATGCACTTACTTAGCCATTTATTTACTTTACCTCTGTGTGAACAATGGTGCCTGAAACCAGCTGTCTTGCCAGGGCTGCTATGTAAGGCAACAATCTAACCAATACAAAGACCAGACAAAGTTGCTTTTTAGTGATTTAACTTTTAAATCTTTAAAGGCTTAATTCTTTGCACTTTTATCAGCAGATCATTCTAATGGCTCCAAAAGAAATTTCCAGATTATCTTAATGGCTCGATGATAAAGTATTTGATTAATTTATTTTCTCCCTCAAATGAAGTATTTTTTCCTCCACTTGTTTCTAACAGAATGTAAGACTGAACATACAAACCTGGTGTGGTTTTTGAACTTACGTTTCAGTGTTCAAAATTATATGAAAAATGCTCTGTGATGGAACCAGGTGCAGGAGATAACTTTCTTCTTATGAATAGGTCTTAAAAAAGGTCTTCCTGATTCTGACAGCTCAGTTTTCCACTGAACATCCTGGCATTCTTGTAACAGTGATTTGTGGAACTGAATTTATGAACGTTGGCATTGATCTCAGGAGGGAGGCAGTGGCTGCTCCCTACTATCAATGCTGCAAAGAGAATCTGAATCAAGGTTTTTGTCTGATGGCAGCTCCTCCTCTTGGGTGAAAGTTGGTCTTATACAACCGACCATGTTCCTTCCCAAGAACTAAATGTCTCTGCGCCCCGGATCTCTGTCCCACAAATCCTGTGAAATTCAGCTTTTGGCAGTCCTTGATTCTGATGCATACCTTTACCTTGGTTTGAAGTCTCTTACAATCAGAATGTATACTTCGCCTCCTTCTGAGTTCTGTTTGCCCTGGTCAGGGCTCTGCATATTCCAGAAGATGCCAGCAAGTGCATTCACATTACCGCATTCCTCAGGTCACTCAAGGGCACTTAAGTCATTGTTTCAAGGCAACCTGAAAAGATATTTACCTCTTCTGACCTTTCTAGTACACTTCCTACAGTCCTGCCATTTTAGGACGGTGTTTTTTTCTGGTGACTGGTGGCTTAGATATGTTTGATTTTTTAAATCTATTTTCTAACAGATATGCAAAATATCAATTGACATTGCACTGACAGACTTCTCTCTTCACCTTGCCCCCACATGCCTGTTTGTCACTGCCTTTTTGGACTGTCTAGTACTTGGTTTAAGCCTCTTGGCAGTAAGAAGACGAGGACGTGAAGCAGATCAGGCAAACGCGCGTTTCACAACCAGAATTTATTATGGCAGAAGGAGGTAACGTTTCTCGCCCTGAATTAGCAGCACTGAGCTCTCTGGTGGCCCCGTGCCAATTCTCCGTCTGGACTTTTGAGGTGCCCCTGGCTCGTTTCGTCCCCCTCTCCCAACTCCCCGCCCCGCAGCCGGCGCCACGTTGCCGTTACGCGTTCCTCCCTCCAGGGCCCGGCCCGTTTCCCGCCGCTGACTGAGCCGGCCCACCCGCGCGGCCCGGGCCGGCAGCGGGGCGTCTCGTGCTTGCTTGCC